AATAGTATGAGTACTACCATAGAGTAAATTGTCAGTTAGAGACCGGTAGGTTAAGAACCATGAGAAGGTACATCGAAAATGCATTGATATGACTACTAACGTAGAGCTTATTGTCAGTTAGAGACCGTGAGGTTAAGAACCATAGATGGGTACAGAGAAAATAAAATAGTATGAGTGCTATCATAGAGTAAATTGTCAGTCAGAGACCGGTAGGTTAAGAACCATAGATGGGTACGGAGAAAATAAAATAGTATGAGTACTACCATAGAGTAAATTGTCAGTTAGAGACCGTGAGGTTAAGAACCACGAGAAGGTACGAAGATAGAAGGTATAAGGTAGAAGAAGAGATTGAAAGGTACATCTATGGAAGGAGATAAATTGATGAACAAATAGCGAGAAAGAGATAGAATTGGTAAATGGTAAGAGAAAAGATGAAAAGAACCAATGGTAAGAGAGAGATGAATAAATGAACGAATAGCAAGAGAAAAGATAGAATTGGAAGCCAATGGTAAGAGAAAAGATAGAAAAGAAACCAATGGTAAGAGGATGAATAAATGAACAAATAGCAAGAAGAGATAGAATTGGAAGCCAATGGTAAGAAAAGATAGAAAAGGAAACCAATGGTAAGAGAGAAGATGAATAAATGAACAAATAGCAAGAAAGAGATAGAATTGGAAGCCAATGGTAAGAAAAGATAGAAAAACCAATGGTAAGAGGAGATGAATAAATGAACAAATAGCAAGAAAGAGATAGAATTGGAAGCCAATGGTAAGAGAAAAGATAGAAGAAAACCAATGGTGAGAGAGATGAATAAATGAACAAATAGCAAGAGAAAGAGATAGAATTGGAAGCAATGGTGAAAAGATAGAATTAGAAGCCAATGGTAAGAGAAAAGACGAATAAATGAACAAATAGCAAGAAAGAGATAGAATTGAAGCCAATGGTAAGAGAAAAGATAGAAAAACCAATGGTAGAGGAGATGAATAAATGAACAAATAGCAAGAAAGAATAGAATTGGAAATAATGGTGAGAAAAAGATAGAAAAGAAACCAATGGTAAGAGAAGATGAATAAATGAACAAATAGCAAGAAAGGAAGAATTGAAGAAGCCAATGGTAAGAGAAAAGATAAATTAAACCAATGGTAAGAGAAAAGATGAATAAATGAACAAATAGCAAGAAGAGATAGAATTGGAAGCCAATGGTGAAAAGATGAAAAGGAAACCAATGGTAGAGAGATAAATAAATGAACAATAGCAAGAGAAAGAGATAGAATTGGAAGCCAATGGTGAGAGGAAGATGAATAAATGAACAAATAGCAAGAAAAGAGATAAATTGGAAGCCAATGGTAAGAGAAAGATAGAAAGGGAAACCAATGGTAAGAGAAAAGATGAATAAATGAACAAATAGCAAGAGAAAGAGATAGAATTGGAAGCCAATGGTGAGAAAAGATGAATAAATGAACAAATAGCAGAGAAAGAGATAGAATTGAACCAATGGTAAGAGAAAAGATAGAAGAAATAATGGTAGAGAGATGAATAAATGAACAAATAGCAAGAAAGATAGAATTGGAAGCCAATGGTGTGAGAAAAGATGAATAAATGAACAAATGGCAAGAAAGAGATAATTGGAACAAATGGCAAGAAAAAGATGAAAAGGAAACCAATGGTAAGAGAAAAGATGAATAAATGAACAAATAGCAAGAGAAAGAGATAGAATTGGAAGCCAATGGTAAGAGAAAAGATAGAAAAGGAAACCAATGGTAAGAGAGGAGATGAATAAATGAACAAATAGCAAGAGAAAGAGATAGAATTGGAAACCAATGGTAAGAGAGGAGATGAATAAATGAACAAATAGCAAGAGAAAGAGATAGAATTGGAAGCCAATGGTGAAAAGATAGAAAAGGAAGCCAATGGTAAGAAAAGATGAATAAATGAACAAATAGCAAGAAAGATAGAATTATTGAAACCAATGGTAAGAGAGATAGAATAAATGAACAAATAGCAAGAAAGAGATAGAATCAAAACCAATGGTAGAGGAGATGAATAAATGAACAAATAGCAAGAGAAAGAGATAGAATTGGTGGTGTGAGAAAAGATGAATAAATGAACAAATAGCAAGAGAAGAGATAGAATTGGAAGCCAATGGTAAGAGAAAGATAGAAAAGCCAATGGTGGAGATGAATAAATGAACAAATAAAGAGAAAAGATAGAATTGAAGCCAATGGTGAAAAGATAGAAAGGAAACCAATGGTAAGAGAGGAGATGAATAAATGAACAAATAGCAAGAGAAAGAGATAGAATTGGAAACCAATGGTAAGAGAGGAGATGAATAAATGAACAAATAGCAAGAGAAAGAGATAGAATTGGAAGCCAATGGTAAGAGAAAAGATGAATAAATGAACAAATAGCAAGAGAAAGAGATAGAATTGGAAGCCAATGGTAAGAGAAAAGATAGAAAAGGAAACCAATGGTAAGAGAGGAGATGAATAAATGAACAAATAGCAAGAGAAAGAGATAGAATTGGAAGCCAATGGTAAGAGAAAAGATAGAAAAGGAAGCCAATGGTAAGAGAAAAGATGAATAAATGAACAAATAGCAGGAGAAAGAGATAGAATTGGAAACCAATGGTAAGAGAGGAGATGAATAAATGAACAAATAGCAAGAGAAAGAGATAGAATTGGAAGCCAATGGTAAGAGGTAAGATGAATAAATGAACAAATAGCAAGAGAAAGAGATAGAATTGGAAGCCAATGGTAAGAGAAAAGATAGAAAGGGAAACCAATGGTAAGAGAGGAGATGAATAAATGAACAAATAGCAAGAGAAAGAGATAGAATTGGAAGCCAATGGTGTGAGAAAAGATGAATAAATGAACAAATAGCAAGAGAAAGAGATAGAATTGGAAGCCAATGGTAAGAGAAAAGATAGAAAGGGAAACCAATGGTAAGAGAGGAGATGAATAAATGAACAAATAGCAAGAGAAAGAGATAGAATTGGAAGCCAATGGTAAGAGAAAAGATAGAAAAGGAAACCAATGGTAAGAGAGGAGATGAATAAATGAACAAATAGCAAGAGAAAGAGATAGAATTGGAAGCCAATGGTAAGAGAAAAGATGAATAAATGAACAAATAGCAAGAGAAAGAGATAGAATTGGAAACCAATGGTAAGAGAGGAGATGAATAAATGAACAAATAGCAAGAGAAAGAGATAGAATTGGAAGCCAATGGTAAGAGAAAAGATAGAATTAGAAGCCAATGGTAAGAGAAAAGATGAATAAATGAACAAATAGCAAGAGAAAGAGATAGAATTGGAAGCCAATGGTAAGAGAAAAGATAGAATTAGAAGCCAATGGTAAGAGAGGAGATGAATAAATGAACAAATAGCAAGAGAAAGAGATAGAATTGGAAGCCAATGGTAAGAGAAAAGATAGAAAAGGAAACCAATGGTAAGAGAGAGTAAGAAAAAATAACAAGAGATGGAAAGAGAATTATTATTGCACAGAGCCTGTAAACACCGTAAATGATAAAATAAACACAAAAAAATCAAGCCCCATATACCTATTTTTATTCTGTCATTTATAAAAAAACTGTAATAGCAATATCTAACATATGGATCTGAAAAACATGTTTTTCAAAGTTTTTATGTTATACAAATTCAAATATATTCAATTATATTATCATAGACGCTTTGGTCTTCCTGTTTTTCCCAACTTGTTTCCGCGCCTACCATCGAGAGGGGCAGCGTAAGCAGATGATCCCTTACATTTTTTCGGACATAATCTTTTGCCGTGGGGAGAGACACATTTGTGTTTTGGTCCTCCTGAAATGAACAGGATTTCAAATGTCTAGTATGCGAAGATCGTGAACTCTGAGCTGCACCACAAAACCTACATCGAAAACGTCTGAACTTTGGCATTACATTTTTTCGGTTCGAAACGTCCACCCCTCCCGATTTGAATTTTTTGTATATTTCAGGAAGACCCCACTTAATTGGTTGATTGATAGTGATGTCGTGTGACTTCAATTTACTGTTTTGCCATACAACCACGCTTCGCATGCCTAATGTGCCCTTTTTGTCAATTTCAACCCAGTCCTGCCCAATAACGTAATCGACGTTGAATTCTCCAACTGGACATCTTGCGGTGATTTGAAAAGGTGCAGAAGATTTGCCATCTGCTCCAACCTCGGGAGCTTCGTCTGAATCAGAGTCTGAATCGTATTCTGTTTCGATCTCTGTATCTTCATCCAAAGCATACGAGGTAGATCGATAATTGGACGGATTTGATATTCCTATTGATTCTAAAATTGTTTCTAGATTGTTATTAGATGGAGTTGCATCAGTAGACGAGTTGAGTTGACTGTTGGCCGAAATTTGTGCTGATTGACTGGATTGAGTTGTTGTTGGACCAGAGAATGAAGACGAGCCTGATTGATCATCGATCGGATTGGAAGATGGTAACGATCCCGTATAAATTGGTTGACTGGTTTGAGGTGTTGTTGGACCAAAGCATGAAGACGAGCCTGATTGATCATCGATCGGATTGGAAGATGGTAACGATCCCGTATAAATTGGTTGACTGGTTTGAGTTGTTGTTGGACCAGAGAATGAAGACAAGCCTGATTGATTATAGATCGGATTGGAATATGGTAACGGTCCGTGTAAATTGGTTGACTGGTTTGAGTTGTTGTTGGACCAAAGCATGAAGACGAGCCTGATTGATCATCGATCGGATTGGAAGATGGTAACGATCCCGTATAAATTGGTTGACTGGTTTGAGGTGTTGTTGGACCAGAGAATGAAGACGAGCCTGATTGATTATAGATCGGATTGGAAGATGGTAACGATCCCGTATAAATTGGTTGACTGGTTTGAGGTGTTGTTGGACCAAAGCATGAAGACGAGCCTGATTGATCATCGATCGGATTGGAAGATGGTAACGATCCCGTATAAATGGTTGACTGGTTTGAGGTGTTGTTGACCAAACATGAACGAGCCTGATTGATCATCGATCGGATTGGAAGATGGTAACGATCCTATAAATTGGTTGACTGGTTTGAGGTGTTGTTGGACCAAAGCATGAAGACGAGCCTGATTGATTATAGATCGAATTGAAAGATGGTAACGATCCCGTATAAATTGGTTGACTGGTTTGAAATGTTGCTGGACCAGACAATGAAGACGAGCCTGATTGATTATAGATCGGATTGGAAGAGTGTAACGATCCCGTATAAATTGGTTGACTGGTTTGAGGTGTTGTTGGACCAAAGCATGAAGACGAGCCTGATTGATTATAGATCGGATTGGAAGAGTGTAACGATCCCGTATACATTGGTTGACTGGTTTGAGTTGTTGTTGAACCAGAGAATGAAGACGAGCCTGATTGATTATAGATTGGATTGGAAGAGTGTAACGATCCCGTATAAATTGGTTGACTGGTTTGAGTTGTTGTTGGACCAGACAATGAAGACGAGCCTGATTGATTATCGATCGGATTGGAAGATAGAGTATATTCCATTTTATCTGGTACTAATCTGAATTATACTTCGAATTAACCTCACAAAATATTTATAAAAAATGAACTTGTTATTTTCTCAAATTCTTCTGATCTAAAACGAAATAAAAAGAAAATATAGATTAATAATATTGATCTGATGATATCAAAGCAACACTTGATGATCATCATTATCATGAAAAAGAAAAAAGATAAACTGCTTTTAATCGGTAATTTTTGATTGAGAGTCGCATGAACATGATGCTCAATTAAACTCTTCAGTTGAACTAGTCAAGTCGAAAAAAATTTCAGTTAATTCATAATTATGATTTCAATGGAGTTGCTGTTAAAAGCAGTGGATGAATCGATAGGATAATAGAAGATTATCACTTGATTTAATACCAATTTCGGAATAGAATTGCCGTTTTTTCGTGAACCAATAACCCATATCAAAGGAAACATGAGGTTATAACGTAAATTAGCTGAAATGTTGAATGAAACTTTTTCGCTGTTCATGTTTAATCAAAAGACTGTCATGATTCTCCATCATAATTACAAAATATGGAGCTAGAAACATTTTCATAATTAATAAACTTTCAACTATCAAGTTAATCGTAAATTGTAGCTGATTATTTCTCCTTCTACCCAATACATGATAATAAACATGAACAAAGTGGCAAAAATCACCAAACCTGTACAAAGTTTTTATACTCGTTTACAAGTTCCCATTGTGATTACCATGTATTAAGTTGACTCAATTGAGCAACATAAACCAGTTACATCAATTTAATTTCACTTCATCATCTTTGTTCACATTGATTTCTTGTTGATTTAATTTGCTCTTGATTGCCCTAATGTGTTTCAATTACACTCAACCTAATTGTTGGTGATTGTTTATCGTTAAATCAACAGAAATCAAAATAAACGTTAACATTTATGCCTTGATTACTTTTTTAAACTTTCCTTAAGTTTTGCTTTTTCTCAAATAATTTATTTTCATTACAAATCAACTTACAACTTGTTAGTCCATTTTCTGTGCTACTGCTGCTAATCAGTTGATTGTGCTAATTGTTACTCTTAATTGTCAACTACAGTTTTTCAATATTTGCTTAATTTGATTGTGATATTACAAGTTTGCCTTTATTATTATTTAATCATCAACAATTAACAACTAAAAGTTAAGGAGGATAAGTGATTGGATTAAGTTCAAACAATTGTGACAACAAAGGAAATCAATTGATCAACAGGAGAGCCTAATCATTAATTTATTACTAATAAACTAATCACAATTGAAGATTGTAATTGTTTCGTAATTTTAACAAATCAATTATATGACAAAATGAGTTAACAATTAAAATTGATTGTCAATCAACATCAAATCAAAATGCTCAACATTGTCAACGATATAAACACAACAACAACTTTATTTGACTTTGTCTTATATTGAGATTGGTGAATTGCTACTTCCAACAATCAAGGTGTAACTAGTTAATCAGTTAATTGTTGTTCATTTTAAATTTTTAAATTGTAATCACAATTGAATTAAAAGTCAATCGTTAATATTAACCAACGAAATGAAAACGATGATAACGAAATCAGAGTAATAACAATGAAAAAGTTGTCACCAAGTTTTTGTTTTCACCAATCATGGCAAAAAATTCAATCACAATAACAGTTGATCAGTATCGATAATGAATAACAATCAACTTAATAATTATCTTGTTGACATGATGATAATATTAATAAGCGATAATAATATTATCAATGTTGATGGAAAATTATTCATCAAGTGAGTCTATTTTTCTTGGCAAACATGATAATCGTTATTAAAACAATTACACAATTTAATGTTATCATAACAATTAAGTTTTTTCTCTTTCAATAATCAACATCCTGACAATTTAACTTACAATCAATTATCAATCCCCAGGGTAACAGTTAACAAAAATGAGTATAATTTATTTGGTAATTTTAGATGGAGAGAGAAAGAAAAAAATCGAAGTAATCAAAATTGAAGAGAAGAGGAAAAAAATTAATTGTAATCAACATGAAATCCTAATTGATTCATTTACCTTTGGATATAATAAATTATATATTTTACAATTAATTTAATCCTGTTGTGAATAATTAAATTGTCCCTTCCACCTAACAACATGATTGACATGACGATATTGATCATGTAAATTAGTAATTAGTGTTAATCATGATCAATTATTTAATGGTAACCATGACACGAGTGAATTTTAAATTACCAGAATTAAACTTAATCGTAAATCATTTGAAAGTAAAACTTGTCATGATTGAGGAATTGAGCATTGGTCAATATTTCACCTTAATTACAATTAAACATGATTCATTACGATCCAGAAAATCGTCACAATCAATTGATTGATTTTATATTGATCACACTTTGATTGTAATCATTTCATCATCTCATGGAAAAGGAAATGAGAAAGTGATAATCTGAGATTCTCAAATTCTGATTAATAAAAAATATATTTATTTCCCACTCGGTGTAAATTGATTTTCATGATGATTTGGGAATCATCATGTTACTCATTTAATTGCCATCGGTTCTGGAAGATAATTTAATTTACATTTTCTTTTATCTTTATTATCAATCAATATGATTAGATATTGTTATTAGTTAATAAGAAATAATTTTATGATATTTCTACTTAATCATCTCACTCCTTTAGGGCAATTTAATCAAGATAATTACTTAATCAATGATAATAATTACTATTTTTTTGTGTCAATAATTTTACCAATTCAAATTAATATATAAACACAATACATAAATTCAATCGTGATGAGAAGCAATTAACCGTAACAATTAAAGATAATCAAACCCACTTGTCTCCAAGTATATTTATACATTGAAATAACAAAGTCCATGTTAATCATCAACAGTGCTTGAAATTAGTGGGTGGGGTTGTTTATAAACTCTGAAATTATCACAACTAATTAGTGATGATAATAATAATTCAATTCTCTTCCCGTGAATGATTGAATGATAATGATTGCTATTAAGTAATTGAAGTGAGAATATGTATTTTTAATGGAAATGATAATCTTGAGTTGATAGGATTTCGTTTCTGAACTTTTTGTTTTATTCCCAATGCTCACTCGCTTACTCTCTCTCTCATTTATTTTAATATGATAAAAAATAAACCTCCAGGCTTTTTGATCATCTATATTTTCATTCATATTTACATGAAATTGCTCAGCTTATTATCTTGATGATTAATAAAACTTTCCTTCTTGTTGTATTATAATGAACTTGAAATAAGATTATGAACTTTTTTTCTGGTTAAATGATAATTGATAATTTGTGTTAATCATGAGATTGTCAATCAACTATTTATCATGAAAGCGAGAAAATGAAAAAAAAAGTTCTAATGGAATTTTATTCAATGGAAGATGAATAATAGATAAATTAAGAAGATAATAAGTGAGAAGAGAAAGAGAAACAAAAAATCATAATTATAGATGAATTAACTAATTAATGGGCGGTTTTAATTGTGATCAATATGAACATCTCTATGGTTGTTATCTCAATTGTTGATTCGGTTTAAAGTGATTTACTGATTGTTTCAACAGTTACATTATTTATTGGTTTCTGGATGATTAAGGTGATGATTTTAGCTCAATAGGTAACATTACCATCAGCAATTAACTGTGATAATAACAATCAATCAGTTTGTCTTTAAAAAAAGTCAACAATTTATTGATTTTATATACAATTTGTTTTTGTTTTAATATTGAAAATTTGACAAGTTGTCACATTTTTGTTTACCTCTAATTAGATTGTGATTACTGATAACAATTAAGAATCGTTTATTTAATTGCTAAGCTCATCCAATACCAATCAACATGTTTATTGATTTATCAATTCACTAAATCATCAAGTTAATTGTTAATTAAATTGTGTTGATACTTTTTCGCAATTTCGGGTTACTGGTTGTTTTTTATTTCGTCGCGAGTTTTCATTTGTATTTGGTTCATTTCTCGTTAAAATTGTTTCAAAATTAACTAATTGCTGTTGTTAAATGTTGACGAAAACCTTTGTAACCATTTGCTTTTCTATTATCGTGATTTTTAATTTACTAGTAAACAATTTTATCAATTGTGAAACAACAGGAAAGAGAAATCATCATGCGATTGAACCTCTAAGGCAATTGGACGATAGAAGTGATTTAGGATCAACTATTGAAACAATCAGTTCGATTTGGCCAATTGAACGTATTGATAATGATGGGCTTCAGATTAATTGGTTAATTAGCTCAGAGAAATCTGAAAATGCAATTAATCCAACTGAATTAAGTATCGAACTGTCTTCATCAATATCATCTAATGTTGATTACTATCCGTTAATCAATGGCTGGTGTCCTGATTGTTGTGATGAAGATGAAGTATTTGTTAAAAGTGAACAGAAATGTTTGAAAAAAAAGTAAGTCATCTCTTAATGAGGATCTTTCAACAATCAATTAATTGATTATCATTCTAATTAATTCGGTTGTTAATTAAACAGTGTAAAATTGCACATTTACAATTACAACTCGATGATCAATTTAATTACAAGGACGTTATCGTTGTTGAAATTATGATCTAATAATCAAAATCGATCATAATTTGATCCGATTTGATTGTGATCTATTCATAGTTAGTTAATTGTTACTCTTTCTTTTTACGCTTCACTCTAATTTTTTCCTCTCATTTTCTAACAAGTGTAACAATTAGTTAATTGTGATTTAATTACTTTCATATAAATTTATTCTTGAAAATAATTCATCGGTTAATTGTTAAGTTAAGGTGATTCCTATTCAATCATTGAAGTCGCAACAGTTGAATTAATTGATTATTAGGTTTAATGTGAGCTGATTTCAGGGAAGTGATTTAATTTTTGACGATTGATTGGTAAATCGTGTTGATGAATTTGAATAAAATTTTGTTGATTAATTGTCAAGTTCGTTCTTAACAATCATGATATTCTGAATATTTTGATTATTTTGATCTGTTATTAATATGAACTTGACATTTTCACTGTCGTAATGCAATTTGATTTCTTCTGTTGACATAATTAAGAGAAGTTGAAAATTTTATAATGAAATTTGCTTCCAAACCAAAAATAAGCAAGAACAAAAACTGTTTTCTGATGATAATCATACAAGGGAATTTCATACAAGGGAAAAATTTGCAAGTTATTTCATGGTATAAAGTATTAACTTGAATGTATATTTATCCTAATTGATTCATATTAGGGCATGAATTCACTATTGATAAAAATTTATGTACAAGTGAATTTGTAGATAAAATTTCACTTACCAAGTGGCGATCAAGATTTCGGATTGTGATTGATGCTATGAAGCCTATGTTGATGTTTATTTTGTTGAGCTGAGATTAAGATACTGAAAACAGACGACCCTTTTTAAGTTATTAAAAGTAAGTTGAAAAACACAATACAATATTGAATTTAGACTTTCAAAGAAAAAGAACTTTTCAAAAATATGACTTTTTTAAACCCCAACGCATAAGGTGCTAACAGAAACTAAACACACGAGGTTTTGCGTATTTTCAATATAACAAAGATTTACTCTGATGAATCGTAGATCAATTCCTTTATTCTATTGTTTTAACTATCTATTTTCTATGTTAAGATTTTAACTTTGATACCCTATTAATTGATGTAATAAACCTTTTAAACAATTAAGATTGTCAGATATTTTTCAACAATGCCGATTATTATTTTCTTTTGTTCTTAACCACCCTTTGATCTCTATTGTCTACAATGGAAATTAAAAACAATTCTTGATAAAATAATAATTTTAATTGTTTTCAAATATCTGACAATCTTAATTTTATTAAAGGTTAATTATTGTAATCAATAAGCAATTGAATACATGTTTAGGGTATCAAAGTCTAAAATAGAATTGTTTTTAATTTCCATTGTAGACAATAGAGATCAAGGGTGGTTAAGAACAAAAGAAAATAATAATCGGCATTGTTGAAAATATCTGACAATCTTAATTGTTTAAGGTTTATTACATCAATTAATAGGTATCAAAGTTAAAATCTTAACATAGAAAATAGATAGTTAAAACAATAGAATAAAGGTTGATCTACGATTCATCAGGTAAATCTTTGTTATGATACGCAAAACAGTTCTGTTGCGTTGGGTTAAAATCGATTTGATTCTTTTCAGTCTAAATCAATGTTATTGTTTTCAACTGCACTAACAAATGGTTTGTTCTGTCTCAGCTCAACAAAATAAACATCAACATACTTCATAGCATCAATCATCAATCTGATCACTACTGAAGAAATTTATTTACAAATTACAATAAATACAATAATACAAATTGAAAACAACAATCCACTTGTTGCGATAGAAAAAATTGAGAAAATGAAGATAAAATGATGATCATCTAGATCATTTCTGATTTTTCATTGAATTTATTTTTTCATATCATTAAAAGGTTTTAGATAATCAAAGTTCTGTCTTTTCGTATTGATAAATTTTACAATAAAAACGAGTAACTGGAACATTGCCTGAACTTTTCAGTCGTTTTATTCACAGTTAACGTTAATCAAATTAACTTATTATCAAGTTGATTAAATAAATGTTTCAATATGCTAAATGTAGTTCGTTGATTAAAGAGCGATAAACATAAACAATTTGAACCTTGATGATAAACAAAAACTATACCATTAGGGTACACCTTGAATTCAATTGAGATGTTACTGAGTTCGTGCTAATGAGTTGAATAGCTGTTGAACATTTCATGACGGTAGAATAATACAACACCCACTTCAATCATATAATAGCATATGATGATATAAGCTGAGCGATGCTTTTAATCAAATCTCTGTTAGTTTATAGTCAGCAACTCAAATTCAAAAACTGAATCAGAGTTAGTGACTACAATTATCTTGGAAATTAAATTTTTCAGTAATAATAAAATTGAAGAGGAAAAAGGAAGAAAAAGTAGAAAGCTGAACAAATTAGAATTGTTATTCACTCAATGAGATGTAATTTCATGATAAATTTAATAATTTAAAAATAGTATTTTATCAATGGAAATGAAAAAATTTAAACACAAAGAAATATTTTTCTTTGCAACAACTGATACATATTAATGATACAAAACGATTCTGATTCCATTAGGATGCCAACAATGAACGTTTTTGCTTGGTAATTGATGACTCAAAGCTTAGATAATCTAATTGTTTATTATTTCATCTCCAGTTTCTGAATACAATGAACTTTTTTAATAGCAATAAATTAAACCGTTAAATAGAATTGAAGTTTCAACTGACCTTGCAAAATGAATTTTTATGTTTTAGTCTCTCTCTCCCTCTCTCTTCACGGATAAGTTATTTTTTGTCATTATTAGTTAGTCAAGTAGTTAGTTATTAGTCAAGCATTTTGACCATTAACTGGACACTTGCTACTTGTTATTGAGACAAATTCAGTAAAAACAACACTTGGAACACTTTTTCCAGTTCTCTTTCTTCCCTGTACCTGTGTTTTTGTCTCTCTATCATTCATTTTTGACAAAGTTCAGGAAATTGAATCAATTGAGGCAAAATAAATGGCAACAGTTATTGCTTCGTGTAAATGCAGCAAAAACTGATTCATGGTGTAGAACTTGCAGTTTTCTCACAGTTTGACTGTCTCTCTCATCTTTAGATTTTTAGAAGAAAATTTTTTTCATATTCACGACTGAAAAGTGCAAATTTATACAACTACAGCTCACTGTTGATGGTAGGAGATGAAATTAACCATAAACCAGAACTTTCTTGAATCATTTGTTTCTTCTAAAAAAGTTTTTCAGCTTCTTTATTTTACTCAATGTTAATAAGCGATGCAGCATAATAGCCACCTAGGTTTTTACTCAACTTAGTAAATTATTTATTACTTGGACTTCCTAAATTTAATTGACGTAATATTTAAGCGCGCTTATTAGTTGTGTGATCAATAAAACGAAACTTATTAATAAATATTTAAGTGTAAACAGCTTAATATGTAAACAATGAATTATGGAAGTCAATCGTGATTTAGAAAATTTGACATTTGATTGAAAAAATTAACAGTCACTGTTCATCATTAGCTCACAAAAATCAAGTAAATAAATCATAGTGTTGATTTGTCCACTGATTGTCGCGATGAGAAAAAACTGCGACTTAATTGACTGGAAATCATGAAACATTAACACGAAATCATTATATTGAACAATGAAACAAAATCAGCTTCCATGCAGATAAACTGAGCCTAACTTATTCAATTGGTAGTAAAACAAGGACTCACGGTTTCAGGCCTGAGTATCTACTGAAAACTTCATGAAGGTTCACACTGAATACAAATGAATAAGGTGAAAAACTGGATTGGCTGAATAAACAGATTGTAGACAAATTTACTTGTACATAAATTTGATCAATAGTGAATTCATGTCTCAATATGAATTTGGGATAAATATACATTCGATTAAATACGCTATACTATGAAATAACTTGTGAATATTTTCAGGGAAAAATTTCGTTCCATGATTATCATTAAAAACAGTTTTTGCTCTTGCTTATTTTTGATTTGGAAGCAAATTTCATTATGAAATGTTGATGTTGACAATCAGGTTACAATTCAAATGGAAAATTGCTTTCTGTGGCTATTTAGGACTTTGAAGGTAAAAAGGGAAATTGTCAGAGTTTCAAGGGCATAAAAATTCAATGGAATCTTGTGAATTTTGAACAAATAAATATGTTGCATGCAATGAAAACGATACATCTCGATTCTTTGTACATGTTTTGTTTTTTCAGTCACAACTGGCAAGTAAAAAACTAAAAGAAACTCTTGTAGCAATTGTGATTCAAATGATTGCAATCACATGAGAGGTACGATAAAGTTATCAGAATGAGACAATTGACGGAAACAGCAAAAACCATCATTAGAAATTCATCAAGAATTCACAACTTCAAGGTGACAATGGAAACATGTGTAGCTCTAGTTGTTTGTCTCTTTGTCTCATCACTGTTTCAAACAAAGACTGAGCTAAGAATAACTTGGGATAAGTCATGGAAAAGTGAAAAAAAAGAAAAATATAAAATTTATTGGCTGTTTATCGTATCTGTCACTCTGTGATTTTTGTAAGCTAATTTTACCTTGACGAGCAAATCTCTCACGTCTAATGCTTCTTACCTTATCATTATCACCGTTCATATCGATTCTCTTTTGCTTCCTTTGCTGCTTCTTCGTCATTTTTCTCTTTTCTCTCTCTCTTCTACCCTTCTTGATGTCTTATCAATTTGAGAAAACATTTGTCACAGTCAGCGTCAAGAAAACGAAAGAAGTTAGATAAAGTCATACAAAAGCTTGTTTCATCTTTATCATCACTTTCGTCGTCATAAATCATTTTGTTTCTTTTCTCTGTCATTCTTATCACCGCCATCATTTTTCATCTTCATCTTAATCATTAATTTTGCCTCTTTGCATCTCATCTTACGATGATAATTTATATAAATATTGTTTTGCAACCGAAGGATCCGAACCTCTCACTTAAATTGTCAAGATAATCTGTGGAAATTATTTGCTTATCAAATGTAAAAATTACTTTTCAGATAATGATAAATGATTCAACAAGATTTGATCCTATTAACAGCAATTCCAATAAGTGATATATTCAACTTGAAGATGAAGCAAATTGATAAAGTTTCAAATAAGTGATCAGTTTAGATTATTTTGAAATAGATGTATACAAAATTTGAGCAATCAGTTTATATTGAGATCAGAAATTTTCTTGGTAAATTCAGCAAAAATTGAATCCAAATCATTTTATTTTATGATTTATTGAGCTTAGCAGTTAAAACATTAGTGATTTGTTCAATTTTATTGTTTTTACAATAAAATGATTGAAAACTATTTGTTTGTCCAAATAGTTCCACACTTTCAAACACTTCAAAAGTCAAATATTTGATTTGGTGAACTATTGATAAATTCATATTTGTGAAACAATTTCTATGATATTTCATGTTGAGAAAGTTCTGAAAGTTCATAAAGCAGCTTGGCGATCAGTTGATTGTCTTGTTATTAATCAAAACTCATTTTGATCCTGGATAAGAAGGAATATTAATTAAATAAAGCAAATAGGTAGATTCTAATTAAATAATATAACATAAGATCTGACCTAAGACACTAAAAGTATCAACGTGATATTTGCAATAGTTGCAGAAATAGAAAGATAAACACAATCAACATGATTTCAATGATTGAAGTTTATTTTCTTAACAACATTGAGTTGGTCCATCAAGATAACTAGCTGTCATCTTGATAGACTTGATTTTACAAATAATCGCTCACAATAATCGTGCTAACAATACATAATTGTAAGTATACATTGTTATCATTTCTATTTCTAGAGGAGTCAACATTACTCCACAATCCCTAAAAATGGGACAACTTTTAACATGATACACCACATGAATCAATACGCAGTCTCTTTCCACTCCTAAACCAAATTT